ATTAGAATTTTCTGATTAGTTATAGCTAATACAGATGCTTGAGTCTAACCTCTAACCTCCCAAACTTTTTTTGGGATTTATCTTTTGGAGGTCTGGGTATTGGAAAATTTTAAAAGTTTGTCAGAGAATCCCGATGTGGATGAAAATTTGAAAGACTTGGCAATTTTTGAGACCCACTGTGTAAAAATGGCTCACATGAGTATGAAATGATACTTGTAATCAGAATAATTAGTATTTTCGTTGTTATTGGGGTTTAGATGTATTTGTCCCCTCAAAAGCTTTATTATGTGTCAGGAGGCTGAGGCATATCACATTGGTTAAGAGGAGCTGAGTAGGAGGAGCTCAGGTTCCTGGGGATGCTGTCCTTCTGAAGTGGGTGTTTACAAGAAACTATAAATACCCTGAGCCTAATCCTTGCATCTCTCTCTGCTTCTTGTATTATCATATGATTTCTTCCTTTGGAATGTACCATGGGGTACTCTCAAGTGCCTGCAACATGGTATTTGGATTTCTAGCCTCCAAACCATGAAAGAATGTGCAGTGCAGTTTAAACAAGCAGAAAATAACACTCATTAAATGTAGGAAATGCATGGAGAAATCAGAATATGAAGACAAAGTGCACTCTGCCAGGGTAGAAGTGTGTACCCAGGCCTCCTTGCTTCTGCCAAGTATCATGTTCTGATAACCGTGCCTCAGCAGGCTAAGAATTTAATTGCAATTAAAAATGCGACTTTCCATTTGTCTTTTATATCATTGAAGGGGGTTTTATGCTAGCTGGACAGAAAACAGAGCTTTACGTTGCTCTTGAAGATTGAGAGTAAATAGTCACTCCTTTCATGTAGTTGCAACACAGTTTCTTTGCTTGCACACGAAGCATTCTAGTATTGGCATAGGTAACATTTTAATTAATTAATTAATTGATGCTTTTATTTTATTTATATAAAGTGCACAATTTTCATTTATATCACAATAAACAGATCTATGGGCATAGTGATACTTCCTGCCCCATCCTCATTCCTGCCCGTGTTTCATACCCACCATCATCCTTTTCCTTTTATTTTTTACAATGATATATTTGAAGTTCACTTGGGAAATGCAGATTTAACCTTCCATTAGCAAAGAATTCAACAAATACCAAATAGAAAAGAAAATTACTGAGCCTCAATCGTATAGACAAAGGTTATAAACAATAATCTAATCTCAAAATGTCCACCTCACTTACATAGGTAACATTTTCTGCATCCATTTTCTTGCCAAAGATTCTTGTCTTTCATTCATTTTATGACTAAATATTATTCTATAATGTATACATACCACATTCTCTTTATCCAGCCATTCAGTTGTGCACATCTGGGTTGATTTCACAGCTTGGCTATTATGAATTGAGCTGCCATGGAGATGCAGACAAGTCTTTCATATGCTGATTTCAATTCCTTTGAGACAATTCCCAGGAGTGGAGTGCCTGGGTCATATGGTAAATCTTTTTTTTTTTTTTCCAGATTTCTGAGGAATCTCCAAACTGTCCTCCATATGTAATAGCTTAAGTAGTTTACATTTCCATCAACAATGTATTCCTTTTCCCTCACATCCTACTTAACATTTATTATTTTTTGATTTTTGGATGATAGTTATTCTCACTGGGTTGAAGCCAAACTTCATTGTGGCTTTTATTTGCATTTGCCTGTGACTAGAGCTTTCCAGAATTTTCCTATGTGTCTGCTGGCTGTTTTAAACATTGCTGTTGCAAGATTTGTGCAAACAATCCACCTTTTTTGATGCCACCATGCCATATCAGAGTGCTGGTTCAAGTTTTGACTGCTCTGGTTTCTATCCAGTTTCCTGCTGATGTACCTGAGACAGCAGAAGTTGATGGCCCAAGTACATGAACCCATACTTTTCATTTAGGATATTGGGGTGGAGTTCCTGGCTTGCAGTTTCACCATGGCCCAGACCTAGCTCTTGCAGCCACTTGGGGGAGAGAACCAATGGACAGAAAATGTCTCTTACTTTCTCTCCATCTCTGTCTGTTGTTGTTGTTTTTGTTTACATAAATACATCTTTTTCAAAAATAAAACCACTATCCTAAAGCATTACAACTTAGTAAAAAAAAAAAAAAAAGCAGGTTCGGATTTAATGGTCCCACTTTACAATTCCAACAATTAAGACTCACAGGTTAAGAAAACATGCCTAAAATCACTAAGTGATAAATAAGTAATAAGTGACAAATAAGATATTAAGGTAAATCTTAGCTAAATCTTCTGATAAGCTATTTAGATCTATTTTTCCTAAAAGCAAATCAATCCAGATGGAGTTATTTTGAAAATTTTGATACAGGAAAAAAGTATAAAAGAATGTAGAGTAGGTACATTTCACTCATCCTCTCATTCGTTTGATCTACAAATACCAAGCTTCTATTTTTCCCAAGCCTTCTTTTCAATCTTGAGGTACTGATATGAATAAAACATGACCTTTGAGTTTGAGAATTGATTTTCCAATAGTGTGACAATCAAGTCTACAATGAATATCACGCAGTACAGTAAAGATCATGAATTGAAGGCAGTGATGAAGCACTAGTGATCTGGGGTGGTTAATGCCTGAACTGATCCAGCCACACATCTGATTTAAAAGTTATGTTACATTGTAAGTTTCTTATATCTCTACAGTGATAGTTTGAGCTGCAGAGCCTCTAATGCAACACATAGTGTATCTCCAGAAATGATAATTCAGCAGAAAAGGAGAGTTACAGATCTCTAATTTTTAAACAAAAACCCGAATTATGCCCTTTTTCTTATTTGACAGCCTCAGTAACTTGGAATCACTTGACATGGGCTGCAGTGATTACACAGCTCCAGATACCTTGAATTACCACTGTTGCTGTGTGGACTCAGCAAACTTTTGGATCCCCAATTACATTATTTCTAACCTCTTTCAGATATTGCCTAATTTCCACTGGCATAACTCTGTAATGAATCTTTTCACTTTTCCCTGCCATCTGCCAAAATCATCGTGGACATTTTAATACCCAAGAAGTTCTGTCTTCTTCGAGACTTTATCTTTCGAATATCTACTGTATCCCAGATGTTTGCTGCGTAGTTCAGGAAAGACAAATTAATTTATTATTTATTAATTATTTCCCCCCCAAAGTAAAAATTTCACATGAAATAAGACCTGGGAAGGAAAATGCTAACAAACCTTCGAACATGTGCGAAAAAGTGGGAGGTGATTTAGTCATCAGTGTCCAAGAAGGCTTCCCTGATGAAGGGACCTAAATTATTGTTTGGATAAATAGCAGAAACCAATTAGGTAAAAAGTGTGTGTGTATTATGATGAATGAAGATGTTCCAGATATAGTAGCATGTGAAGGGTCTTTGAGGCAGGAGAGAAAACTATACATTCAAGATATTGAAACAAGGACAATGATGTTGCAGTCCAGGAAATGAGGGACTATGTGGCAAAAGAAGATCTGGAGAGGTAGACCAAGCCACACAATATAAAACCTTCAGGCCTCAGTAGGTATTTTGGTCCTCGTTCTAAAAGTAATAGAATAAAACTATTAACGTGTTTCTAAGAAAATACAGAGGTAGGCAAAGTGATCAGAAGAAGATTTTGAGAAAATAAGTTTTGCTATAGTGTGATGAGCAGAAGTAAAGAGCATGAGCTCATATAACTGATGAAAGTTTGTTTTAATAGTCCAAATGAGAGAATAAATTTATCGAAATCATATTGTTAGAAATAATGACAAAGGATATTTAGCTGTTGGATATCATTGACAGGGAGTGATGACAAATTGGATATTTTGTTTAGGGACAAATGTTAATGGAGAACCCACGGTGAATAGAGCCCATAGATGAAGACCATGGTTAGTGATGTTGAGATGGTGGAAACATTTTGGCATCCAAGTGGAAAAGTTGTATATTGATATCTACTATTCAAAAAGGAGGATTGGGCTGCACATAGATTTTAGAAGCTTTATAGTATACGAGTATTCATCAACAAGTTCATGAAAAATGTAAAAGGTAAGTTTATTATGATGTAAAATCCTTTGAAATTTTAAAAGTATTTTTTTTCTTAATAGGTATTTTTCATGAACATATTAAAGAAGACACTACCTATTAGTTATAATCAAAACCAAAGTCTTGGGATGAACACCGTGGGATATCACTATGGATAAAGTAACTACAAAGAGAATAAAGTGCTATGGCATACTGTGAACTAAAGGAGAGGTCTCTGCCATGTAGAAGAAACACATGAATTTTATGGGGCACCAGAATGGGTGACAAAGAGCATTTTCTAGTAGCTTGAATCCTCCTGAGAAAGAATTGTGTAACTGGAAGATCACATATGCGACTGGTACATGAAAACTGAATGGATTTCCACCGGAGATGCTCCACAAAGCCTTCAAGAATTAAGTAAGCAAGATGACACTAGATGTCCTCTAAAATGTGACACCATCCTTAACTCAGACCCAAATGATACAAAATGGCACCTTTAAATATACAAAGAAGTGGGTCTGGCACAGTAACCTACTGGCTAAAAGTCCCCGTGTTCCATGTGCTAGGATCCCATATGGGCACTCCACTTACTGCCCAGCTCCCTGCTTGTGACCTGGGAAAGCAGTCAAGGACAACCCAAAGCCTTGGGACCCTGTACATGCATGGGAGACCTGGAAGAAGCTCCTGGCTCCTGGCTTCAGATGGGCTCAGCTCCAGCCATTATGGCCACTTGGGGAGTAAACCAGTGCATGGAAAATCTTTGTCTCTCATTCTCTCTGTAAATCTGCCTTTCCAGTAAAAAATAAATACATCTTTAAAATATACATATATGCAAAGAAGCAAAACATTAGTTTCTGTCTTTGCAGAAGAGAAACTTGGGTCCAATATTTCAAAGTGACACTTTTTCTCATGTGGCCAATCCCAAAGTGCAAAGCTGACTTAATATTCTCTGCATCTCAGGGCCACCTGATATATATGAAACTGTCGCATGACTGTTAAAGTCTTTACCTGAGTTCCTCTGGAAAAATTCAGCATCAGTTTAGCTTCCTGAATGACAACTTCTTTCACAAACCCTGGAATGTTCTGGGAAAGGAACAAATATTGAGCACTCACCATGCTCCAAGCACTTTAAATCAAAATCAAAATAATAAGTCAAAATAATAGCTATTACTTTCATCATTTCCTTGAACATCCAGAGATCAAGTGACTTGTTTAAGGTCATGTAAATAGAAAATAGCAGAACAAGTGTTTTTATTTATTGATTGATTCATTCATTCCAAATTTTCCTTTTTGTCATCATCCTGTATCTGGGAGAAGTGGAGAAATAAGAGAAAAAGCCACATGCGACCTCGCAACTGTCTCAGTACCTGGGAATAGGGAACGTCATCCCAGGATCACTGATGTTCTGCTTAAGTGGTTTTGGTAGTTCTGAAATGCTGTCAATCTTACCAGTACAAGGATGAGGAAATCCTTCCAAGGTCCGCTGACTAACGTATTTCACCTTAGAGTCTCCATTCACCCAGATACTTGATGTCAACACTTGGCTCGGATAGTTCAGCAAATTGTTCTGTCTTCCTTCCTCTGGATGGTGCCAACTGTCCTCTACAGTCCCCAAAGAACTGCCATGTCTTCCATGTGCATCTGGACATGCTATTCACTGCTCCATCTTAGCCACTGAGGAAGCCAGGTTCTGACCCATGCACTCCACAGTCAGACCATTGAACCTGCAATTCTCTCCATGGTTGGGGTTCTGAGACCAGCAGTTCAGCTGGAAGTATCCCCACAGTAACTTCATCTGAGGCCATCCCAGGCCTGACTCTTGTGTGTGATTGCTAGTGTGAGATCTGGCTCAGTCTGTCACCCATATCAGCCTATACAGACACACTGGGTCAGTTCTATCTCCAACCCTGTCTCTTATGTAAACCAGTGGATCCTGAGACCCAGCCTAACCCTACCCTCCACATACTTGACCCTCAGGTTCATTAGTGAGAACTGCAGGCTAGTTGGGATAAACCCCAATAATCCCCACCCAGTCCTGTTCCAGTCCTGGTCCTGTGCTTGCCACTGTGTGCAGCAGACTGGTCCAATCTGTCCCACATCTCATTCAGCTGTTGTACACATCAAAAGGGAATTGGAGCCTAGCTCAACCAAATTGACCCCATTATCCAGCAGACATGCATGCCAGTGGGTACCACCATTTTTGTAGCCAGCCCCAGCCCCAGCCCTGATTCTCAAGCTCACCAGTGGGACTTGCAGCCCATCAGATAGGTGCTCACATTTTTTGTACTAGGTCCACTCTCAGTCCCAGATCTTGCACTCTCCAGGTGGTTCTGCAGTCTAGCTTAACAGGATTTGCCTCCAGTTCCAGCACTTGCAAACCAGTACTTCGGCAAAGCCCAACCAGCCTGCACTTACTCTATGTATGTACTAGTGGCTACAGTTTGGTTAGCCCAGCTAGCTCTCCCCCTAACCCAGCTCACATGCAGTCCAACAGGTGTTGCAACCCTGCCAGGAGTTGTTACATTCACTAGTTGGAGCAGAGGCTCAACAGGCGAGCCCCTGCTGCCTCTCTCAGCATCGGGCTTGCACCCTCCCCTCAGGTCTCAGGTGTGCTGCTTGATGCAGTAGCACAGTCTGGCATGGCCCTCCTGACCTCGACATTTGCCAGTGGGTGCTGTAGCCTGGCCCAGCCCGGTCTGCATCCAGTTCCAGCTCATGCTGGTAGGTGCTACAGCCTAGCCCAGCCCAGCTAGCACTCAGTCCCAGTCTTAATGTGAACTGCTGTTATTGCAGCCCAATTTGGCCTATCCTATAACCCATCCTGATTCTCTCATCGGCCAGTGGATATTATGAACTGGCCCAGCCTGGTCCACCCTCAGACTTGACCCACATGTATGCCAGTGGGTGTTGTATCCTGGCCTGGTCTGGGCTGCTCCCTGCCTTGGATCTTGGGCTCACCTGCAGGGACTGCATTCTGACATAAAAGTCCCCAAGCTCTAATATCAGATGTTCTCTCAGTGGCAAGTCTCATACACACTGTTGGGTCCTTGGTTCACCTACTGTGACAGGAACAGTGGCCTACACCCATTCCGGCTCTTACTATTGGGTGCTACAACCCAGCCACACTTGGTCCATATCCAGACACAGCTCTGAAGTGGCTCGGCGGTGCTCAGGGCTAACCTAGACTGTCCTACACCCACCCTGGCTTTCATGATCACCAATGGGTGTCCCAGTCTAGCCCAGTCTGGCGTACCACAGATCCAGTCCACATCCATGCTAAGGGAGACTGCAGTCATGTCCAACCCAGTACACTGCCCCCATTCCAGCTCTTAGGCTCACCAGTGGGAACCACAACCCAGCCGGGATGTCTCTTTGTCTCCCCAACCAGGCCTGTTCCCAGTCACAGATCTTGCACATACCAGTGGTTGCTCTGACCCAGCTTGGCAAAACCCATCCCCCGTCTTGGCTTTTGCCATTGGATGCCTTAGTGTGACCTGTCCTGGCATGCCCCCAGTCCCAACTCTCAGTAGAGTGTGCTACAGCCTAGCCCTCTGTGCTCTACTTCCATCCCTGACTCATGCAAGCCAGTAGGTGTGATAACCTAGCTCAGGATGATCTGCACTCCAGTCTGGCTCCGGCACATGCTAGTGTGGTAATGTTTGACCCAGCTCTGCCAAGTCTGCCCCCCTCCAGAACCAAACCACATACTTGCCAACGAGTGGAGCTACCTTGCCTGGTCTTCCCAACACCTAGGCCTGAATCATATGCTCACAAGCAGGGCCTATGTCCCAGCAGGTGTGTTTCCCAAGTGCCCCTCCCAGACCCAGATCTCACTTGTGCCAGCAGGTGTCAGACCCTTCCTGGCATAGTCTGCCCCCTCCAACCGGGCCTGTGTATGAGCTGGTGGATGATGTGGCCCAGTCCACCCCGCACTCTATTCTCGGGTGTGCCTGTGGGTGTCACAGCCTGGACCAGCCTGGTCTTTTCCAACCCTATACCCATGAGTGTTGGAGGGTTCCATGGTCATGCCTAACTCAGCCCGTCACTACTCCTGGCTCTAAATCTGGGATTGCAGTTTCACATGGGTGGGCCCATATATCCACCAAAGAATTTGCTCCTAGACCTGATTCTCTCAAGTGTTGACTAGTTTCATGGCCCAGCCTAACATTACCTGCTCTCTGTTTTTACTCTCATTGGCAGTTACTATGATCTAGCCTTGCCAGATAGGCCCCCAGCCCTAGCTTTAGCGTGCACTGTTGAGTAGTGGTCAGTGATAGTTGATGCTATATAGCCAAGCTGAGGTCTCCTCTGTGGGCTAATGCATTAGTCTAACCCTTAAATGTTCTCCAGTTACACCCTCCCAAACCACTCAGTCTTGCCTCCCTTGCTTACCTGCAAGTACAGTGGACTTGTTGACGGAAGTTCCTCAGTAGTTATCTCTCACCTGCAACATAACTCCCTCAGTGGCCCTCCCTCCGATACATCTACTTACCCCATTTCCTGGGCAATCCACAGCGCCTGTGCCCCAGCCCAGTGTTCAGAAACCCAGTTTTCCATCGTGGTGGTATGCTGGCCTGGAACTCTGCCCGCCCGTTAGGGTCCCAAGCTCATGGCATGGAAACTTGTCCCTCTGTCCACTCAAGTTCCTCTTCCATTCAAAATGCCCCATGCCGGATCCACTAGCACACTGCACCAGGATATTAACCTGGGCCTCTCCCCTTTTCTCCCCAAATCCTCCTGGGACATAGCGTGTGGAGAAATCCCCAGGCTTACTCCAGCTGCCTCCACATGTGCCCCCAGCTCTCTACACGCTCCGTCCTGCACTATCCCCTAGGCCCACTGTGAAATACCTCTAGGCCTCCACAAGCCCATTCATTCGCAGTGGGCAGAATGGCCAGAGAGGTGTTTCTAACCAGATGTTTTTAGACAAGAAATCCAAGAAATCCAACGGACTGAATCTTAGCTTCAGGTTATTCACACCTGCCTCATAAGCAAAATCTTCAGTATCATTCACACTTGGGGACCTTGTTGACCAGATTGATTTTTAACATATTTATCTTGAAATCATTTTATACTCATAAGAAGCTACAAGAATGTCAGTCTTCATCTTCTTGTACTTCCACTTATTTTCCCCCAATGCTAACACTTTACATAGCCATAATATATTATTGATATAAAGTTCCGAACACTAGCACTGCAATGATACTAGTAATACCAGCAAAATTACAGAAACTGGGACCAGTGACATGGCATTGTAGGTTAAGTCTCTGTCTGCAGTGTTGGCATCCCAGATGGGCACTAGTTCGAGTGCTGGCTGCTCCACTTCTGATCCAACTTCCTGTCAATGCACCTGGGAAAGCAGTGAAAGATGACCCAAGTCTTTGGGCCACTGCGACTACATGGGAAATCTGGAAGAAACCCCAAGCCTCTGGCTTTGGACTAGCCCAGCTCCAGCTGTTGCCACCTTTTGGGGTATGAATTAGTGCGTGGAAGATCTCTGCTTCTACTTTCCCCTGTAAATCTTCCTTTCAAATACAAATAAATAAATCTAAGAAAATGCCAGACATTATAAAATGTTATATCATATATTATATATGTATAAAATCTTAGTTTGTGTGGTTCTATGAGATTTTGTTATGTCTCTAAATTCATGTAGCCACAACTACAACCTAGAATACAAAACTGTTCTATCATTACAAAGAAATTCCTTTGTGTTGCTTTTGTATGATCACATCCCTCCTTAACCAAAAATGAATAGTAAGCACTGACCTCTTTTCCATTCCCATAAATTTGCAATTTTGAGAATGTCATATGAGTGGAACTATATTAAGTAACATTTTAGATAACCTTTTTAACTCAGGATAATTGCCTTTGAAACCCTTCCTAGTTTTTATATATTTGTAGTTCATTTCTTTTAGTTATTGAATACTATTCACTAGTACAGCTTTTTAACCATTCATCTATTGAAGGGTATTAGATTGTTCTTGCGATCATACATAAAGCTGTGTTTACATTTGCATACAGGATTTTAAGTGAAGGCACATATTTATTTCTCTGTGAGAGACAGAGAAAATCATTGCTGGATGGTGTTGCTATTTTATAAGAAATGTTTTACAGAGTAAGTGTATCACTTTACATTCCTGCCAGAAATATATGGGAGAACAAATTTCTCTGCATCCTTGCAATCACACAAATTGGGACAATAGATTATTTTTCTTGTAAAGTTTGTGAAGCAAATTATCATAAACTGGTATATTTCAAGCCAGTGTCTGTATTGCTGCTGGGTCAGTTGAAGTTAATATCTCCGAAGGAAGATCTATTCAGCTTTTTCTGAGCCATAGAATCACAAAGTATCATAGTTAAAATAGCTCTTACGAATGGAGAAAGAGACCCATAGAGGAAATGGAGTTGCCCATGGTGGCATCATAGGTTAGCAAGACTAAAGCTCAGACCAAACCTTTGGGTTCTCAGAATAGACAGGAAGAAGAGCTATAAAATACTATCTATGGTTCAGTTCTATTGAGAGTATCACATTTCTATCAGATCCAACTTTTTCTGAGAAATGACAATGAAGAGGCATTCATGATACTTCAAGCGTGTGGCTCTGACTCTATCAGCTCAAGCAAGACTCTGCTGTACAACCTCACTGAGAAAGTTATGGGAGTGGTCATCAGCTTTTGATTTTACTTCCTGCTCCAGGTTGCATACTAATTGACACATCATTCCCTGGTCCTCTGGAAGAGATCTGAGTTGTTTCCTTTAGCAGTTTACTTCTAACATGAATTTTCCTAAGCTCTATATTCTGAACTCCGGGTTGTACAGTATAGAAGTTTTTGGCACTTAGGTAGAATTCAGAAAATCCGTGCCACATTTCTGATTATGGTGAAGGCTGTCATATTTATAGACAGTAAAATGAGTGATTTTATGGCCCACTACCTATTGGTCTGAAGGAGATAAATGAAGAGTGAGCACTAAAACAGTAACTTACAAAATATTCTCTAAACTAAATGAGGACCTGCGAATTTATTCCTAAAATGGCAGAATAGTCAGAGTTTGTGAGGAGGGAACCACTAAAATAAGAAACCATGGAAGGAGTAAAAACAGCAATTAGTATAACATAAGTAGTTTGGAGTAACATGATGTTACTAAAAACAGGGAAAGAAGAGTCTGGGACTGTTTCACTTAAAATCTCAAAGACTGGGTCATACATGATTGGATGCAGGGGGAAAGAATTAAGCCAGATGCTTCAAAAAAATATACTCATTGGTCTTGGAGTTGAATCGTTTGTTGAGAAACAAGATTAAATGAGAGTAGTTCTAGGGGATCAAGGAAAGCAAGCACAGACAAACACATGGTTTAGGATAAGTGAATGGAACATGGAGCCCCAAACTATATGGAACATTTTATGGGAAATTTTAACGAAAAGATGAATTTATTTTGGTGCACAAAATTTTAGTTCCATGCAGTGTTTTCATATAAAATGTTTTATGGAAATTTTAAGACATTATTTTATGTCTTCTATGGGTGTCCTGTTTATACACTTTAAATTTCTATAGCCATAGGTGGATGGTACAAAATGACCATGTACTATTTTGATTCGGATTTATCTGGAATTGAAGCAGGTCTAGGGGATGTAGGGCTTAGAAGCAAAACAAGAGAAATGATTTGTGGGTTTCAGATGATTATCAGTTTAATGGGAGCTAGTACTAATGGAGCTGCCAACAAATCAAGTGTCATAGAAACTGTATTTATGGGAGATTGATGCTCATAATAAGTGGTGTGATGCTCCAGTTTTATGCTGGTCAAATCAAGTATCACGATAAGCAACGCTGGAGGCTCCAGGTTCCATGCTTGGGAAAGAGTTTGCACAAAACTGGTCATTTTTCCAAGAGAACACATAGAGTGGGTATGGGCCTGTGTCCCAGGTTCCAGGAGGAAGAGTAGAGGGAACTGAGACTATTTAGCCTGTGGTAAAATGATGGAGGGGTTATAGTTGAGTGTGGCATATTTAGATCTCTGATGGTTCATCACAAGACAGAAGGAGTAGAGAGAACCAGTGCGATAAAGGATTCCTAGGTAAAATTCCAAAGGATAGAAATTTCAACTAAACCCAAGAAAGAACATTAAACAGCTAAAATTATTCAAGCATGAAATAGGCTGCCCAAGCAGATAGTAATCCCTCTCTTACCAGATGTTTCTGAGGAATGAACCTACAACTAGCTTTTGGGGACAAAATAATCATTTGGTGGAAAGGTATGTTTTCCAAATGTAAGAGGTGGAAAATGGCTGAAGGAATTGAAGATTGGTTAGATTGGAAAAGGTTTGACTTAGAAGCTGCAAATTTAGTCTTAGGATCTCTGAGAACACTACTGTGAGGCAGAGATCAATCTGTATGTCTCCAAGGAAGCAGGTTGGGACTTGTGAGCTACAGTTGGGACAAATTTTGATGCCAGTGGAGGAGAAATTTTAGGACAGCCACAGAAGTTCACTGAGCTGTCTTGGGAATTTCTCTGTCTTTGAAAATATGTGAGGAAGGGCTCAGAAGCTAGTTTGACACAATCCTGGCTGTCTAGTTTCATCAACTGAGAAGCTTAACAAATGAAAATGTTTGTCATTGCCAGAGACTTTTAAGAATTTGTTTTGATATGTCAATCAGTGGATTGTTCAACAACCTCATTGTGCTTGGAATGGCGAGACTGGCAGCAATTCAGAACTGTTGAACTATCAAAACCACTTGATCAAGACCCTCGGAGCATGCCCCACATCTGGGACCTGGGGCGGGTGGGAGACTGGGTGGGGCTTCTCCCTTAAAATCCCCTTTTACATCAGATATATTAAGCCAATAATATGGAACTAATTGTCTTGCCCATCTTCCTGTAGTGCTTGAAATCTTTTACCATAATTATGTCAAGATTGTAAAAAATATTTTTTTTAAATCTAAAAAAAAAAGAATTTGTTTTGAGTATAGAATGCACATAGAGATTCTTAAAAGTTCATCAGGCAATTGTAACGTATAATCAAGGCTGAAAACTGCCACTGAGGGAAGGCCTACCACCATAGATTGTGTAGAAAGAAGTGAGTTTGTACAAGAGCTAAAGTTAAAATCTGATTGGCACCAGGAATTTCAAAATCTACATTCAGTCTGGAGAATGAAAATCTGACTGCACCTGAAAGTGTTGCCCCTCCAGGGGAATTTTCAATTAAAGAGGTCCATAATATTCTGATAGCGGTTAATCCAAAATGATTGAGTCCCAAGCTCATTTGGAGATGACTTTCAGGAAAATCACATTGACTTGCTTCCCTTCATACAGTCCAGGGAATGAGAATTCTTGGGATTTGATACAAAGCCCAGGCAAAATCCTTTCATTCCAATATTGTTGGAAATGAGCTGTGTTTTGATTGGATTCAAAGTCCTGAGTATTTTCCTAAACTCAGACATGAGTGTTCATGGGATATGGACCAGGGAGGAATATGTGGTGTGTGTTTACAGAGGAGATGGGGAAAGACAGTTAATGCAAAGAAAATGAGAGATAGAAATGGGGAACCTAAGACTGAAA